ATATATGTATATATAACATTATACATATGTATTAATATATATATGTATACATAACTATATATACATAGTATATAATATACATATATATATACTTATATCCTCTAATATATATATATAGTATAATTATATATATATTTATATGTTTGATATATATATTATGGTTTATATATATATGTTTATAATATATATGTGTTATATATATATATATACTACTAGTATACTGTATACATATACATATATATAATATATTATTGTTTATATGTTATATACCATATATATATATCATATACTATTATATATTATACAGTCATAATATATATATAGTTATATAAATACTCATACCAATATATATATTACATAGGATCTTGACTATATACTATATACCACTTATTATATAAGTACTACATATATATATACATTACATATATTATACTCATAATATATACATACTATAATATACATGATACTACTCCGATATATATACATGATACGTACCGTATCATATATATATATATATATACAATATATATATATATATTATATATATATATAATACACTATATATATATATACTATACATCTATATATATACATAGTATATATTATATGTTACTATATACTAATATATATATTTGTTTTATATATATACTACATACTATACTACATATATATACATATATACTAATATATATACATATATTATATATACATTATATATCTATCACATATATGATGATTATATATTATTGTATATAAGTATATTATCAATATATATACTATACAGATACTTATATAGTATATAACACTTATATATATATATACTAGCCTTATATATATATTATATGTATATATATACATATTATAGTTATAACACTACTATATACTAATATAACTATCCTACTTATATATATATATATTCATAACTATCTATATGCTTATATCCATAATATATGTCTATTATGTATATATATAGTGTATATATAGTCATGATATATATATATGTATATATAACTATGTACTATATCTCTACGCTAGGGTATATCCTATATTGTAATACTGAGTATATACGTATATGTATTATCTACGTCAGCTCTACTATCATAAACTGTATACCGTATTACCACTATCATATATGCTATCTATACACTATATATATTACTGTATACTATATATGTATATATAGTATGTAGTATATATAATAACACAATAAATATATAATATATATATATACATATATATATTAGTACATATATACTATACAATATATATATTATATATACTATACATATATATAAGCTTATACATCATATATGGTACGTTGATCTTATATACATCAGAATGTAATATATATACAGTATATTATATATACATTACATAATATATATATTAATATATTATATCATAATATATATATACCCTATATATACTTACTAATCATACACTATATATAGATAGCCCTATACATGCATTACTATATATATAATACATATATATATAGATATATATACATTATATATATATACATACTATTATTACACTCAGTCCACCTCTATCAGCATAGTCCCCTTATTATATACATACTATCATAATACTATATATATATATATTATATATTTATATATATTATTATACATAATATATATACATATAATTATATATACTACTATACATAAATATATATTACATAATATATATATATTAACACTTACATACTTATATACTACATATATATATATATTATATATATATATATCTATATATATATATATACACTATATATATATATATATATATATATTATATATATATACATATATACTATATATATATATATACAGTAGATATATACATATATATATATATATATAATACATATATATATACTATATATATAATATTACATATATTATATTTGCTTATATATATAATACTATTACATAATTATATATATATATTACATATATATTATATAATATATAATATAATATAAATTATATACATTTATACTATATATATATACATCTATATATATAATTATATATATATACATATATATATAACATATACTAATATATATACTATACATTATATATTATACATACTTATATATATATATATATACATATACTATACATATTATATATATATATATACATATATATATATATATATTATATATATATATATATATATACATATATATATATACATATATATATATAATACATATAAATATTTATATATTATACATATATATAACATATATATATATATACTAATAATATATATAATTACCCTACTGCCTTATATACTATATATATTATCATTTATATATATATATGTTTACTTATATATATATTATATAAATATATATAACATATTTATATAATATATTAGTATTATATACAGTTATATATATAATATATATAGTTATATATATAGGTATACACTATATATATATATATATATTCTACTATATATATTATATTGCTGTATACATTCTTATATATATTGGTTATGTACTTATACTATATATATATATTATATATAGTATACACTATATAATATCCACCTATATATATATACTATATGATATACACACCATATATAGTATTATAATAACTATATATATCATAGTATATATATAGATATATATATATATATACACATATACTACTATACACACACATTATAGTACTATATATATATATATATACTTATAGGTATATATATATATGTTAATACTATATATCATATTTATTATTATATATTATACAGTATATATATATACATATATATATATAATATATCTATATATATACCATGTATATATATACATTATATATATACCATATTATATATATTATATATACATATATATATATATATATATAATATATATTATATATATATATGATATATATATATATATATATATATATACTTATTATAGATATATATATATACTACATTATATCACAATATACATATACATATATATATATCTTATATATACTAATATATTATTATAATATATATACTATATATAGTACTGCATATATATATTATTATATATATCTAATATATATATATATTTATTATATTATAATATAATATATACATATATATATACATATAATATATTTATATGACTTATATTAATATATAATTATGTAGCATTATATATACTATATATATATTACATATATTATGATATACATTATACTTATTATATATATATATAGATATATAATATACATATATATCACAATATACGTATATATATATATACTATAAGTTTAAAAAATTAATATTAGTTATTATTTATTTAAAAAAAAAGATATTAATATATACCAGTATATATTATCATATACATAATATATAACATATATATTATAATACGCCTTATATATTAGCTGCTCTGATATTACGTATATATAGCTAGTGTACATATATACATATGGGTATATATATATATATATACAATATACTACATTTAGATTATATTGTGTTTTGTTTTTAGTCCTTAATACATATATATGTTTAAATATTATTTATATATTGAGAACGTTGTTATCAAATACCAGAAGAAAATTAGTTAATTACATTGCATAATAATACAAATATATAATTATTATGAGTACATATATAAAATATACATATAATAACATATAGAGATATATCTATATACATATATATAATATTATGTATTATATTAATATATGATAGAAATATTATATAAAGTAAATATACAAATATTATTATATAGACTAGATGAATTAAACTATTATATATATATATTTATATATATGTATATATATATATATATATTTATATATTATATATTTATTGTAATAATATGAATATTAATATATATAGTAATATTACTTAGTATATATGTAAATAATATGATAAATATATATTATAATATTTATTAAATATTATATATTTATTCACATATATGAATAAAAATATATATATGCTAATACAATATATAATAAATAGTATACTATATGTTAGTATAAGTATATACTATTATACATATATATACTATATATATATAATTATATATTTATAATATATATACCTATATATACTTATACATTATATTATATAATATTATATAATATATATAACTTATATTATATTACTATTATCATATATATTATATATATTATATATATATTCTAGTATATTATATTAATATATAAACATATATATGGAATATTAGATATATAACATTTACACATATTAATATATATAATACTATCTATAGTATATACTTAGTTATATATATATAATAGTATATTAGTATATATTAGGTATATATATTTCTATATCATGTATATATAGTATATATTATATAGTATATATACTTAGTTAATGTTTATATATATATTTAATTATATTAGGATATATTTATTTAAACAATATATAATTATATATTATAGTATATTATAATTTATATAGATATATAATCAAAGTATAATGATATATATATATATATATATATATGTATATATATAAATATATTCTATATATTATAATATATGTTATATATACTATATTTTATATATTATATATGATTTTACATATATTATATTTATATATATATAATATATATTTATTATAATATTATATATATTATATATATATAATATAATATATATATATATATTAATATTACATCTTTTTTTATTTTATGATTCTAATCTTCAGCATTTTCTACAAAAATTACTATCTGACGAATTTAAATTTGGAGACTCTAAGGTGCCTTTTCAACCCCAAGTTAAACATCCCTGGACCCCCCCTGGTTATTCATTGGACTCTTTTCGAGCTCTTGATGGTTCTATTGACCCTAGGGTTCAATATCTGGACGCTTTGAGAACCCCTCGGTCTTGATGCAGGATCCATCCTCCCTTTTATTAAGAATTAGGATTTGTGAAATATTATTATATTAGAGACTGAACTGTGAGACCTGGAAAACTTTCTCATTTCAGACTCCTTGCCAGCATATCCAAGACGGCCTGATCCAGTAAATCTATATCACTTTTACAAAGCCCACTGGGATAAATTCAAGACTCCAGGTGAAGATCCTAGATCAAAACTTCGCTGGGAAGTGCGCACAAAACTTTTCTATTCATCTTGACATCAGAGAACATTATAATACCTAGATATGAAGCACCTGCAGTCTGTAACCGACCCTTTGGCTTGTGTGCCAACTTGACTTGCCTGAAGTTTTAGAAAAAGCACATGTCACATTGGTCTTTCTCTTCTTCACTGTATTTTTTTGTCTCCTTTTCCTTTTTAGAGTACATTAGTCATTTAAATTCACTTTTTAAGTAAAAAGACAGGAATTTACAAGTCTTTAACCAAAGATAATCTAAATATTAGGAAGAGATCATTGAAACTATTGACTAACAAGTGTTTAGACAATGGAGGACAGCCTTTCCTATTTTATAAAAGGAATTGCATTTATAAAAAATGTCAAAATACAGAACTTGTTACAGGAACTGTTTACTAGGGACCAATAGTTGTTTGTCATTACTTGAACTGTGGAAGATTTTTAAAATGTTAATGGCTGTGAATATTCTTATTCTAATTAAGTAGATAAGACTGATTAAGGATCACCTTTTTAGGAATATATACTGAACATTAGTTTTAAAGGTGATGGATTATGTCTCAGGAAAGCTTTTAATATATCAGTATTTATGTTTAGTACATTTTGTCTTCTATATATCACGATAAATATTTGGAGAGTTATCATACAGCTAAAAAATGAATAATCATTAAAATCTACCAAACAGAACTTTAGCCTTAATGAAAATGGTTGTCTTTTCACTGTTCTTCAAGGTGTGTCAAGACTTCAGATGTTAAAGTATTAAGATTTAACTAAATATAAATTACTATTTACTTGTAAAGTTCATTAATACTCAAGTTCCTTTCTGTCTTCCACACACCCAGACAGATTTCTTTATCCCATAAAGATAATAAATGCTTTATAACTTTTCAAATAATAAATCTCCATTTTGAGATTCGCTTTCTGAATTTTATGATGAACTTTGGTAATTCAACTATGCATGTTATGTTGTGTTTTTCCTTTTCTCAATGTTATTATTCAACCTATCAACCCTAAGTCTGTGTACTGTCCACAATTTTTTTGTGAATATTGTTGCACATAGATGGCTCCACAAGTGCTCAGCCATTTAGTAGGCTCTAGTTACCTGATTTCACTGGTTTCTTGAATTTGTATATATTTTTTTCTGATGCTGATAATAATGATTTTATAATAATTACTGATGTAATGATTTTCATAAAGTTATTAAAGTACGAATAACAATAAAAAAGATAAGTAATATTTTTTCAAGAAAAATCAAGGAAAGTGGAAACAGTGAGATAGGTAGAGTTGATAAATGACTTTTGTGATTAAGTACTTGTGGAGCCATCTATATGTACCCACAAACTAAAATTACAGTGCACATGCAGTGTATTTATGCCATATATGGCCATTGGGTGACTTTCTAGCATGATTATATGATAAAGGACTGCATTTAGTAAACTCACTACTAATGCACATGTATTATTGCATTCTCATTGATGACTTTCTAGATTTCTGTGTGGCCTATAATGTTTAAACTATGTGTAGTTGTATTTATATAACTGTTCCTTTTTTAACACCTTTTATATATGCTGTCTATGGAAGTATTAATAGATTGTTACATGAGGTAATAAAATATGTTTTGACTTTTTGTATTTTAACCTTTAATATATGTAAATATTTCCAGATTTACTTCACACAGCTTCCTGTTTTACTTTATCTATATATTAGAGATTTTTGTATTTGATGATCATCTCCAAAAGAAACTTATCTTTCACTAAATGTTAATGGTTAAAAATCAAAATAAATGTGCTAGACATCAAAGGTCATGTAGCACTATAGGAAGGTATATTAGTAAAAAGGATAAAGAGAGGGAGTTAATGATTAGATGTGCTATACATTGAAAGTTATACAATATTTCAGGATAGTATGATATTGAAAAGGGTAAATAGGGTAAGGTAGAGATCAAGACGAGGGGAAAGGGGGTTAAATATGAGTAGATCAAATGGAGGATACAGGTCTATGAGAACAGAAACTGCAAATATTGCAGTGTAGGGAAAAATGAGTTGGAGGGGGATGGATGTCGGCAGTCCCTTTTAGTGTAGAGGGAATGGGAGCAGAGATATTGCAGGATGAAGGAGGGATAGGTGTTTTGGGGGCCATGATTAAATAGTTTTGAATGCACTCAAGAGTTTCTGAAAGGGAGTTGGGTGGGGAGGTCTGAGAAGCAAAGGTTTTCTTATGTGGCAAGAGAAAAGGAGACAGATGTCTGAGGAGCTGAGGAAGAAGTAGGTGTAAGAGAGGATGTAGTAGGAGATGCAATAGGTACATAAAGGAGGAGCACGGGTAGGCAATGGGTAAGAGGTAGGGATTTGAGTGTCTTGATTTAAATTGGCAAAAAAAAAAAAAATTGACTGGGAGAGGGAGGAGGTAGAAGTGGGAACATAAGTAGTCGGAGGAAAAGATATTAGGGAAGATGAAACATCCTGGAGAAAAGGGGGAGGGACAGCGAAGGATAGCACTGGAGTAGGAAGTAAGAAAAATCTCATTATCATGATTCCTGCCTGGCCTCATGTAAAAAGAGTCCATGTTTGAATTTGAGAACTGCCACCTTAGACTCAAACTTATAGGGTAGAGCAATTCCCATAAAATACATTATAGGAGTTACCATGATTGGCACACATATGCAATTGCGTAGAGCAGCAGGGGGGAGTCTATATGTTCCACTAATATAAACATAGAGGTGGTCTTGTCCATGGAGAGTAAATTTGGCAATAATGTTGTAGGACTTCAGCAGCCTCTGGGAGAAATACTGTAGCATTATACTGATACTGCATCATAGTCAAGGAGACAGGTGAGCAAGTCGTTTCCATAGTCTGATTAATCCTTATCATACACAGGGCAATAAACCAGGGAGGTGAGACAATTCTGGTACAAATATTAATTCCTCTGTGTTGGGTATGGCTATAGCCGTCATGATGTAATCATGTATTACGTGTCTATGCATCATGACCTGCTCTAGTGAGCAAGCAGGTGACTTGGCTGTACAAAGCACAAACCCTGCCAGAAAGATAAAATTGTTGTGTAATAATTACATCACATAAAATTCTGAGACATTGTTGGAAGAGGATGATGTCTGAGTAAGATCACAAAAAATTGACCCCACTTGGCTGAGCTTAAAGGAGCACTGAAAAGATCTGTAGAAGTGGAAGTAGTAGGACAAGGGCAAGAGGAAGAGGGTGTGGTGTTGATTGAGGTAGTATAGCAGAGAGGCAGACAATAAGGGTGAAGACTAAGAATTAGGGAGATTGGGGTAGAAATTGGAGTGAAGTATGCTGGGAGAAAGGAAGGAATGTTTTCTGAAGGTTGAGTAATGACCTGAGTGAGTAATTTGGAATGGACTGAATTGACAGCAGGTATCAAGGATGGGATAGTGGTAGCAATGCTCAGCATCATGATCGGGGAACTGGAAAAGTAAGTCAATGGGGCTAATTGATAAGGGGACAAGCCTCAATAACCTAATAAGTTACAATATCATAATTGGCCATGATAAGCCTGGAGTATGTGGGGAAGAGAAAAGAGGCCATGTTTGAATTTGAGAACTGCCACCTTAGACTCAAACTTATAGGTAGAGCAATTCCCATAAAATACATTATGGGAGTTACCATGATTGGCACACGTATACAATTGCGTAGATCTATCCCCCATCAGCTCCCTAGGGACCCCTGTTTTAGACAACTAAATAGGGGAATACCATGCCCATGATATCCATAGGCCATTCACGACTAACTCACAGCCAGCCCTTTTATCCTTTTAACATGGCTCTTACATATTAGATGGAAAGAATAAAGGTCTGGAAAATAGAGGGAAAAGGAAAGGGGAAGAAGAAAATGCAAAATTTGTTGAGCCATAGACCGAGGCCCAAGTTTGTGGTGATCCGCAACTTGGATCTTAGCAGTCTTATGCCTGCCTCCCACAATAACAAGGGAGGGGGGGAGGATTGCTATTAAATAAAAGTTGCTTAATTTACTAAAGGCACCATCTTAATCTAACCTCCGAAAGCCTGGTTTTTCATTTAACTCTTTAAAAAAAAAATTTATTACCATATAATTTTTTCATAAATAAGAACCAAGATAGAGATTACTATGTAATGGTTAATGGTTGAAACAAATAAATGTACTAGCCATCTAAGGTCATATAACACTGTGGTAAAGAATTGTGGTGAAAAGGGTATATGAGTTAACAATGAGGATAAAGAGTGTTAAATGTCAAAGGTTATAGTGTGTTTTAGGATAGTATGATAGGGAAATGGTAAAGTGAGGGTGCAAATTAAGTTAATCAAAGATTAATAAAGGAAAGGGTTAAGGATATAGGGCACTTGGATGAAGTGGGGTGTATCTGTTGCTGGGGAATCTATAGGAACATTGCTTAAAAGAAAAACTAGTAAAAGAGTTATTATGAAATAATCAATGGCTAATACAGATAGAGATGGCTGTCAAATAAGTATCAGGAGAAGAGTCTGGGGGATGAGATAAGGGGACTAGAAAATTAGGTGAAGTATCAGGAAGAGCGTCAGGAGGGGTCCTTCAAGCGTCAGGAAGGACTTCAATGAAATGGGGTATATCTATTGCTGGGGAAGCTACAGGCACATTGCTTTAAGGAGAAACTGGAAAGAGTTATTATAAAATGATAAACTGGTATTATAGGTAGAGATGGCTGTTGGAGAAGTAGAGTATCAGGAAGAGCATCAAGAGTGGAGGAATCAGGAGGACATTATTGCGACAGAAGGGATTCAAGTGAGTATCCTGGTGGGAGAGCTAAGTATAATGGAATATAAAAAGGAAATGGTGTACATGGAGACGGAGAGGATGAGGTGTATTGAGAAAGAGTAGGAGGAAGAGGGGTAGAAGGGATAATTTACAGGGGATGAGGATGGATATTGGCAAATATTTTGAATGTAGAGGAACTAGTAATAGAGAGATTGGTGGGTGGCTGAGGAAGCAGAATGTTTTCTTGGGTCATGTCTAGGAATTTTTGGTTGTCTTCAAGAGTTTCTGAAGGAGATTTAGGTAGGGAAGTCTGAGAAACAAAGGATCTCTTATGGGGGAGGAAAAGGGGGGATAGATCCTCGAGGAGCAGAGGAAGAGGTGGGTGTGGAAGGTGAAGATGGAGTAGAATATTTAAGTTGTCTGGTGCGACAGGTAATGTGAGGGGGAGGAAGGGTAGTTATTGGAGAAGTGGTAGATTTTGGAGTATCTCAATTCAGAATGGAAAAGGGATTTGACTGGGGGATAGGGAGAGTAGACGTAAGATGGTTCAGGGTAGAGGGAAGAGATACTGGGGGAGATGCAAAAGACTGTTTTAGAATAGGTAGAGAGAGAAAAACCTCACTAGCCTTCACATAGAGTGAGACATAGATAGAATCTATAAGCTGCTACTTCACATTCGAGCTTATAGGCAGGGCAGCTCCTATAAAATACAATATGGAAGTCACCACAGTTGGCACATGTACGTGACTGAGCAGGGCAATTTGTACGGTAATACCAGGTTGGGCACATAAAGGGCAGTGGGCTGTGGAGTGACAGTGTTTGGCTGGGTGGCCAAAACGCCAACATTTGACATTGACAGGGAAAGGGTCGATATGGTTGGACAATCCATCAATATAAACTTCATGGGGGAGGTCATGTCTATGGAAGGCAGGTAAATAGGTAATTTTAACAGTCTGTTCAGGGATTCTGATGTAACTGTGACTAGGCATGAAAGATCGGAGTGACTGCAAAAGATGGGGGTAATCACAGAATCGATCCCACTTGGCTGGCCCCAAAAAGAGTACATAGAAGTAGTAGAAGTACAAGGGTGGAAAGTTGGGGTGGAGTGGAGTGGAGTAGTTCTGTGGGGGGAGGATATTAAGGATGAAGAGTAGTAATATGGGAAGAGGAGGTCAAAATAGAAGAAGAATGTGCTGTAGGAGATGGAGATGAGAATGTTGAGAAAGAAGGGGTGCATTCTAGTGGTTGATTAATAACCAGGGTAGGTGGTTCGGAATAGATAGATGTCAGTAAATGTCGAGGAAGGGGTATTATTATCAGTGGTCGGAGCCGTGGTCAGAGGAGGGGCAGGGGTCAGAAAACCATCAAAACCCAATTCAAATAGGCTAGTTGATGAATGGGCAAGCCTTAATGCCCCTATTCAGGGTAAAGAATCTTCATTATTGGCCATGGAATTAACCAAAGGAATACCATGCACATGGTTCATGGAGACCATTCATGACTGATAAAAAGCCAGCCTTTCATTCTTTCAGCACAGCTCTCATGCCTTTGGAATGCAACAGAAGAAGGGGTTGAACATATGGAAGATGAAAGAGGGAGAATGTTTAATGTTTAATGTTTGAAACAAATAAATGTGCTAGACTTCAAAGGTCATATAGTACTATGGCAAAGTATTACGTTGGAAATGTTAATGAAAAGTTAAAGATTAGGATAAAATGTGTTAGATATCACAGATTAGAGAGCGTTCCAAGATTATATGGTAGAAGGGAAGTAAGTGAACTGGAGCAGAGATTAGTAGAAAGGGAGGGTTAAGGGGATAGAGTGACAATGAATTACAGTGTATCTGTCACTGGGG